TTTTTACAATGGGGCATGTGAAATAATTGATGCATGTGTTAGAAGAGTTTTCAAACAGTGGTACTCTTTTTTTTTAATCATAATGAAAAATCCCAACACAGAAAACAAGCACTCAAAAACACTAAAGCATACATGAAACATCATCCCAACACACACAATCCCCCAATGCTTGAATTGCACATTGTCCCCAATGTGTTTGAGTAATTGAAAGGAGGATAAGAGGGACTCACCGCTCATTGAGGTGGCGGTGGAGGTGCATAAGGATGAGGTAGAGAAAAGTGGTGCAAATCTTGTATCAACTGGTTCATCGTCCCTAGTGTAGTGCCAAAACCATCCAGACACACGTTAATGACAGTGAATTGTGTGCCCATATCTTGTCGTAATGAGTGGACAGACTCTTTCAATTGTTGTTGCCCCCGCTCCAACATGTTGAACCTGTTGATCCAATTGGGGGACGCACTAGATGTGGATGCACCATGGAGCGAAGTGTGTGGAGCCGGTTGTTGTAGGGGTACCCCTTGTAGACCGGTGTTGTAATGCTGTCGGTGAGTTGGAGGTTGTTGCGTCATTACTTTTTCTGCGTTTTGAAGCCATGGGGCTGAATGGATGAGTTCTGTTCCTCAGTTGATGAATGGGAGATTGTTGGAGTTGCGGGACGGTGCTTCTCTCGTTGGAACTGCAGAGGTATGGTCTTGGTGTTGGAGTCATTCCTAGCTTTGGGTTAGAGAAGAGTTAATGTGTAATGAGAACTTCGGCATGGGGTGGGATGATGAGTAGGGGAAGTATGGGGGGAAGTTAATGGGGAAGTCAATGAATTGGGTTTGGCATGGGTGTGGTGGACACCTTCCCAGGGTGTGGTAGACTCTGGAAATGAGATGAAGACCGTCCCGACTGCTACACGGCCGTGTTGGTGGACACGGCCTAGCCGTGTAAACTGTGTATTCAATATTTTTCCTTCTGTCCTCTTTAGCCTTGAACTCTCTGTTACCTATTTTCCCTTTGTCATTTACAATGATGATGGATAGGGAAGCATGGGTGTGGTGGACACCTTCCCAGGGTGTGGTAGACTCTGGAAATGAGATGAAGACCGTCCCGACTGCTACACGGCCGTGTTGGTGGACACGGCCTAGCCGTGTAAACTGTGTATTCAATATTTTTCCTTCTGTCCTCTTTAGCCTTGAACTCTCTGTTACCTATTTTCCCTTTGTCATTTACAATGATGATGGATAGGGAAGGGTAAAAGTACCCAACTTCTCGATCGGAGTTCCTGCGAAATAATACTTTAATCGCTGTCCATTGACCTTGAAGGTTCTCGTGGCTTCACTCCATACTTCGACAGCCCCAAATGGGTATACTTTACGCACTTGGAATGGTCCAGACCACCTCGAACGAAGTTTTCCCGGAAAAAGCTTGAGTCAAGAATTAAACAAAAGTACCAGGTCCCCTTCTGTAAATTCTTTACGAAGGATGTGTTGATCATGCCACTTCTTTGTTCTTTTTTTATAAATCTTGGCATTCTCATATGCATCCAACCTCAATTCATCGAGTTCATTTAGTTGAAGCTTTCTCTGTTCTCCTGCTTCTTTCAAATCTAAATGAATGTTCAGCAGATGTAGCTGAGCGAGGCTCGGATTCTGATGATAGCCCAATGTGCCTTATGTTCCACTTCAATTAGTAAATGACATGATTTCCCATAGACCAACCTGAATGGTGCCATACCTATAGGAGTCTTATAAGCTGTCCGATATACCCAAAGAACATCATCTACCTTCATAGACCAATCTTTTCTTGAACGAGACACTGTCTTCTCCAAGATTCCTTTGATTTCTCGATTAGTGATCTCTACCTGGCCACTTGTTTGAGGATGATACGGTGTAGCCATTTTGTGAGTTACTCCGTACTTCCTTAAAAGCGTACTTAGGACCCTGTTTGCAAAGTGAGATCCTCCATCACTGATTACACCTCTTGGGACACCAAACCGGGAGAAAATGACCCTTTGAAATAATTTGACCACCACTTTCACATCATTTGTTGGGGATGCTAAAGCTTCAGCCCATTTTGATACGTAATCCACTGCTACTAATATATACTTGTTGTTGCGTAATGGTGAAAAAGGTCCCATGAAGTCAATCCCCCACACGTCGAAGAGTTCGACTTCAAAAATGTTATTTAGTGGCATCTCGTTCCTCCGTGAGATATTTCCTGTCCGTTGACAACGATCACAACTAAGCGTGAAACGTCTCACATTCTTGAAAAGTGAAGGCCAATAGAACCCAGATTGCAAAACTTTAGCGGCGGTCTTGGTGGTGCTTGCATGACCTCCGTATGGTGAAGAATGACAGTGGGATATGACATCCAATACCTCCTCTTCAAGCAGGCATCTTCTAAATACTTCATCTGCACAACGCTTATAAAGACAAGGTTCATCCCAATAATAGTGCTTGACATCCGATAGGAACTTCTTGTGTTGTTGATAGGACAATTCAGGTGGTAATTCCCCACAAGAAATATAGTTCACAAAATCAACGAACCAAGGGGCTTGAAGACTTGTAACAGCAAACAGGTTGTCATCTGGGAATGAATCATCAAATGGCTCCTTTTCACCTTCTCCTTGATCCATTTCTTGCCTGAGCCTAGAGAGATGATCAGCCACCACATTGTCAGTTCCTTTCTTGTCTTTTATCTCGAGATCAAACTCCTGTAATAAGAGAATCCACCTTAGCAGTCGTGGTTTTGCATCCTTTTTAGCCAAGAGGTACTTCAAAGCAGCGTGATCTGTGAATACTATGACCTTCGACCCAACAAGGTATGATTGGAATTTATCCAAGGCAAACACTACGGCTAGGAGTTCTTTTTCTGTTGTCGCATAGTTCATCTGAGCTTCATCCATTGTTCTACTGGCATAGTATATAGCGTATATTTTCCCTTCTTTTCTTTGCCCAAGAACGGCCCCGATAGAATAGTCACTTGCGTCGCACATAATCTCGAATGGAATGCTCCAATCAGGTGGTCTCATAACTGGGGAAGTTGTCAAAGCTTCCTTTAACCTGTCAAAAGCATCAAAACAAGATTGATCAAATGCAAAGGGAACATCTTTTATAAGCAAGCGGGTTAAGGGTTTGGCAATTTTAGAAAAATCTTTAATGAAACGCCTATAGAACCCGGCATGGCCTAAAAAGCTCCTAACTCCTTTTACATTAGTCGGTGGTGGCATCTTAGCAATGATATCAATTTTAGTTCTATCCACTTCAATACCCCGCTTAGAAATTAAATGACCCAAAACAATTCCTTCTTGTACCATAAAATGACACTTCTCCTAATTTAACACAATGTTCATTTCTTTACATCTCTTTAAGACCTTAGCAAGGTTATGCAAACAGTCATAAAAAAAAATTCCATAGATTGAAAAATCATTCATAAAGACCTCCATAATGTTCTCAATAAAATCAGAAAATATGGCCATCATACATCTTTGAAAAGTTGCAGGGGCGTTACATAAGCCAAATGGCATTCTCCTATAAGCAAAAGTGCCATATGGACATGTAAATGTTGTCTTCTCTTGATCGCTAGGATGAATTAGGATTTGAAAGAATACCGAACACCCATCTAGATAACAGAAATAAGAATGCCTAGCCAGCCTCTCTAACATTTGATCGATAAAAGGGAGGGAGCCTCTCTAACATTTGATCGATAAAAGGGAGGGGAAAATGATCTTTTCTGGTAGCTTTATTAAGTTTTCGATAATCAATGCACATGCGCCAACCGGTGACTGTTCTAGTGGGGATTAGCTCATTTTTTTTTCATTTTTGACAACTGTTATACCTCCCTTTTTAGGTACTACTTGAACTGGGCTCACCCATTCGCTATCTGAGATAGGATAGATGATCCCCGCATCAAGTAGTTTCAGCACCTCTTTCCTAACGACTTCTTTCATGTTCGGGTTTAGCCTTCTTTGATGTTCAATGGAAGTTTTGTACCCTTCTTCTAGCAAAATTCGATGCATGCAAATGGATGGATTAATGCTCTTAATATCGTCTATGGAATAACCTATCGCATCCCTATGTAACCTTAGAACCTTAAGCAATTTCTCAACTTCCTGGTGACTTAAATCAGCATTAACAATTACAGGGTATTCACCATTGGCGTCCAAGAATTCATACCTTAGCGAGGAGGGGAGTGGTTTTAGTTCTACCTTGGGTGCAGTTTTCCCTTCACAAACCTGTTCTGGGTTGTTTCTGCTGCTTTTTGACACGGCTGTGTCCATGGACACAACCTGGGCATTCAACTCTTTTGCAGTTTCGGCCACTGTATCAGGTCCTTTGCTGTAGGTGATTTTGGTGCAGGTTGGACTTTCATCAAGCATCGTAACATAGGAAGGATCAGGTCCTTTGCTGTAGGTGATTTTGGTGCAGGTTGGACTTTCATCAAGCATCGTAACATAGGAAGGTACTTCCTGATCATCGTCAACTGGTGCCTCATTCTCTACTAAGCATTTCTCAAGTGGATCACTTGAGATGCATTTAATAAAGTCTTCTCTAACCACCATATCAATTGTATCAATCCTACAACAAGTATCATCAATTAGTGGAAATTTCATAGCATAAAACAAGTCAAAATTCACATTTTCATCCCCTATATTGAGAGAGAGCTTTCCATTCTTCACATCAATTACTGCTCCAGCAGTAGGAAGGAAAGGTCTTCCCAATATAATGGGGATTTGAGAATCCTCCTTAATTTCAAGAATAACAAAATCAACCGGAATGTAGAATTTACCAACTTGGATAGGTACATCCTCTAATATACCTACCATACGTTTAACCGATCGATCCGCCAATTAGAGGGAGATAGTAGTGGGCTTCAAGTATCCCATCTGCAACTTGTTACATATAGACAATGGCATAAGACTGACACTAGCACTGAGATCACATAGAGAACGATTAATTGACATGTCACCAATTGTGCAAGGGATTGAAAATGAACCAGGATCTTTAAGCTTAGGTGGTAGCTTATTTTGTATGATGTCACTACACTCTTGGGTCAAGGCTACAGTCTCATATTCCTCTAATCGCCTCTTATTTGATAGAATCTCCTTTAAGAATTTGGCATAGGATGGCATTTGGGAAATGACTTCAACAAATGGGATGTTAATATGCAATTTTTTTAATATTTCTATGAATTTCCCAAATTGTTTTTCCAACTTAGCTTTAACTTGCCTTTGAGGGAAGGGTAGTGGAGGCTTATAAGGTAAAGGGGCAACATATCTCTCAACTTGCTCACTACTGTGCTCTTTCTCACTTGACACTAACTTCTCACTCTCATCAACCACATCCTTATGGTCATTCCTCATCATTGGTCCCACTAACTCTTTTCCACTCCTAAGTGTGATGGCATTGATAGATCCCTTTGGGTTAGTTTCAGGTTGCCCAGGAAACATCCCAGAAGGTCTGGAAGAAGAGCTAGATTGTTGGGCCACTTGAGTGATCTGATTCTCTAACATTTTATTATGGGTGGCTAAAGAGTCAATCTTAGAAGTTAGGTTCTAGATGGCATCGCTCATAATTCTATTCTGATTTCTAAATTCTTTATTTTGTTTATTCTGGGATGACACAAAATTCTCCATCAAGCTCTCTAAGTTAGACTTTTGGGGACTGGGGTAAGGGAGTCTAGGGGCTTGAAAACTTGGAGGTCGAAAATTAGAGTGAGGATTTGGGTTCTGGGACGCATCTGTATACACAACGAATGTCCTGTCGCTGTTCGGAATGGTCAGAACTGGCGTTGTAGTCAGCTTAGCCTTCAAAATATCAAAGGCCTCCTGGCACTCCCTGCTCCATATGAACTGTACACCCTTCTTTGTAAGGCGTGTAATCGGCATCGCAATCTTCGAGAAGTCCTGAATGAACTTCCTGTAATATCCAGCTAAACTCAAAAAGCTGCGGATCTCTGACACCGTCTTCGGTGGCTCCCAATCAAGAACTGCCGTGACCTTAGCCGGGTCCACTGCTATACCCTCTCTACTGATGACGTGGCCAAGAAATTTGACTTCTGAAAGCCAAAACTCACACTTGCTAAACTTAGCATACAACTGGTGCTCCTGAAGGGTCCTCAACGCTATCCGTAGATGCTCCTCATGATCTGCCTCCGATCTCGAGTAAATGAGAATATCGTCGATGAAGACGATCACAAACTGATCTAAGAAAGGACGAAAAACCCGGTTCATCAAATCCATGAATACCGCGGGTGCATTGGTCAACCCAAATGGCATGACCAAGAACTCGAAGGATCCATATCGAGTAAGAAAAGCGGTCTTGGGAATATCCATCTCCCGAACCCGCACTTGATGATAGCCAGAACGAAGATCAATCTTCGAGAAATACTGCGCTCCCTGCAACTGGTCAAACAAGTCATAAATCCTAGGTAGTGGGTACCTATTCCGGATAGTGACCTTGTTCAACTCTCTATAATCTATGCATAACCTCATACTACCATCCTTCTTCTTCACGAAGAGGACCGGCGCGCCCCACGGAGAATGACTCCGACGAATAAAACCCTGAGCTAACAACTCGTCCAACTGGGTCTGCAGCTCTCTCATCTCAGCTGGTGCCATGTGATAGGGTGCGCGGGATATCGGGGTTGTGCTTAGCTGCAACTCAATACAGAACTCGACCTCTCTCACAGGAGGTAACCCAGGTATGTCCTAAAAGACATCCTGATAATCTGAGACAACTCTAGTCTCCAATAGCTCAGCTCCCTGATCCCGTCGCATCACCTCCTCGATGTACGCCAAAAATGACTCCGCAAATCGGTTGCCCTGAGAGGTAGCTACAATCATCTCGAACCCATCGGACACTCGCAGCTTGACTGTCTTCGCAAAGCAGTCAATACTAATATGGTAGGAAGACAACCAATCCATACTAAGGATGACATCGAACTCGGACATATGCAACACTATCAAATCGACTATGAACTCCGACTCGTCTAAACTGACGGTACACCTCCTACAAACGCTCTCCAAAAGCGATACCTCACCTAAAGGGGTGGAAACTGATAAAGGGGTGTCAATGCATGCGAGATGAATGAATGCGAAGCTCCCGAATCGAAAAGAATACGGGCGGGAAGAGAGTTCACATAGAATGTACCCTCCACTACAGCTCCGCTGGCGCCATGATCACGAGGAACCACTGCATATACCCTGCCCGTATTCTATGCCATAAAATCCCAAATCCATATTCTATGCCATAATAATCTACCAGTTATTCAAAAATACGAATTTGGCTCAACAAAACCCAATAAAACTCAGTCCTTGACATTAAATTGAAAGGGGTGGGGGTTGAGCGAGAGATTACTCGCCTTGGGTGCTGATGAAAGCCCTAGATTTGCAATAGGTTGATTCCCTTCGCTGGAAATCCAGAATCCCACTGAAAATCTTCAAAAACTTCCCCAAATCACCAATGCCAGCTAGGGTTTTGAGAGGGGAGAGAAAGGAGGCTAGGGTTTTGAAAACTCAGATCTGGGAGAGGTTCTCTCGGGCAGAAATATATATATCAACTCACCAAAACCCGACCCGAACCCGATTGGACCCGAATTCTGGAAAACTCAATAACCGCTGATCGGTCGACCGGTGCGGTCGACCGCCACGGTCGACCGCGCCGGTCGACCGCTCAGCTTAAAAATGCCTGCTGCCAGGCACTTCACACGCTAGCCAAAACACTCGATTTCTCTCACTTATAATCACTTGTTGGGTTCTCAAACATAGATAATTACATTCATATGACATATATATGTGTATATATATGATTATTCATCACAAGGGAAATATTTATTATTAATAATTCACACCTATGTATTATAGAAATTTTCGGGGTTTTACATTCTTCCCCCCTTAAAAGAATTTCGTCCTCGAAATTCGGAATTCGTACGAACTTTGAAATATGAACTCTTATATAACCTTATCGAGATATTTTCGCTTAACGATCTAAAATGATAATGTTCTCGCTCAAATCCTAATCTAGTGGAACTAGTACATCGGGCAAAAAATCCAAACAAGGAACACCCCATACATATACCATGTGTTCCAACAGATTAAAAATTAAGCGAAAGTATTCTCATTATAGCGTTAAATGTAAACATAACCAAGGATATGTACATAAGTTAAGACATGAAATCAAAACAAGAATTTATTTACCTGCTCAACCAAGTGTGGGTAGTCACGACGCATGTCCTCCTCGCGCTCCCAAGAAATCTCTTCAATGCCTCCTCGGTTCCCACTGAACTTTCACCAAGGGAATTACCTTGTTCCTAAGCCTCTTGTCCTCTCTGGCAAGAATACAAACCGGAATCTCAATAGTGGTCAAATCATCCTGAAGTGCGATCTCCGGTGCATCCAATACTCGTTGCTGCTCCTCATCATACAAATGCTTCTTGAGCATAGAAATATGGAACACATTGTGTATACTAGACATAGATGCGAGAAGATCTAGTCTGTATGACACGGCTCCAATGCGCTCTAGAATCTGAAACGGCCCGATATATCTCGGTGCAAGCTTCCCCCGTCTCCCAAATCGCTGTACGCCCTTCATAGGTGATACCTTCAGCATGACTGAGTCTCCCACCTGAAACTCCAAGGGTCTTCGCCTCTTATCTGCATAACTCTTCTGCCGACTCTGAGCGGCTAAAATCTGTTCCCTGATTAATGCTACCTTCTCGGTAGTCTGCCTCACTAGCTCTGGCCCAAGCATCAAGCTGTCCTCTGGCTCTGCCCAACATATCGGCGATCTACAGGGCCTCCCGTACAATGCCTCATACGGAGCCATGCCGATCGTCGCTTGATAACTGTTGTTATAAGCAAATTCTACCAATGGAATATGATCCTCCCAACTACCTTGGAAGTCAATGACACATGCCCGCAACATGTCCTCCAACACCTGATTCACCCTCTCCGTCTGGCCATCTGTCTGGGGGTGGAATACACTGCTATAAGATAGTGTGCTGCCAAATGAGTCCTGGAAACTCCTCCAAAAATGTGAAGTAAACACCGATCCTCGATCCGACACGATCGTGTCCGGAACCCCGTGGAGTCGAACTATCTCCCGAATGAAGATCCTCGCATAAGTCTCGGCTATATAAGTGGGAATAAAATGTGCTGACTTCGTTAACCGGTCCACTATCACCCAAACTGAATCATTCCCCTTCTTCGACTTCGGCAACCCCACAATAAAATCCATGGAAATATCTGCCCACTTCCACTCTGGAATGGGTAAAGGCTGAAGTGTCCCTGCCGGTCTCTGATGCTTTGCCTTCACCTGCTGACAGGTAAAACATCTAGCCACATAGTCTGCAATCTCTCTCCGCATACCACTCCACCAGAAACGCCTCTTCAGGTCTTTGTACATCTTGGTAGTCCCTGGACGACTGTGTACCGAGTACGGTGCGCCTCGTCAAATAACTCCCTCTTCAACTCTGCACTGGCTGGCATGACCAATCTACCCTTCATCCGTAATCCTCCATCTGCTCCAATGGTCCAGTCCGCCTTAGGCTCTTTGGAAACCTCCCCCTTACGGGTTTGAATCCAAGAGTCCTCCAACTGAGCTCTGACAACCCTGTCACTCCAAGATGGCTGCACTGACATAGCTCCCAAGAATGCACTGGTTTCTCCAATCTCGGGTCTAATGTCAAACTGGCTAAGGGTGATAAGATCTCTGTACAAGGAACACCTCAAAGCCGCCACTCTATGCCGACGCTTCCTACTCAAAGCATCTGCTACGACGTTCGCCTTTCCTGGATGATACTGAATCACGAACTCGTAGTCCTTGATGAACTCAATCCACCTCCTCTGCCTCTGATTGAGTTCCTTCTGAGAAAAGAGGTACTTCAGACTTTGATGGTCTGTGAATAGCTCAAACTGTACTCCATACAAGTAGTGCCTCCATGTCTTCAGTGCAAACACCACTGTTGCTAAGTCCAAGTCATGAGTCGGGTAGTTCTGCTCATGCACCCTCAACTGCCGTGAGATATAGGCTACTACCCTCTGAGTCTGCATCAATACGCCTCCTAAGCCTGCCAACGACGCATCTGTATACACAACGAATGTCCTGTCGCTGTTCGGAATGGTCAGAACTGGCGCTGTAGTCAGCTTAGCCTTCAAAATATCGTACACCCTTCTTCGTAAGGCGTGTAATCGGCATCGCAATCTTCGAGAAGTCCTGAATGAACTTCCTGTAATATCCAGCTAAACCCAAAAAGCTGCGGATCTCTGACACTGTCTTCGGTGGCTCCCAATCAAGAACTGCCGTGACCTTAGCCGGGTCTACTGCTATACCCTCTCTACTGATGACGTGGCCAAGAAATTTGACTTCTAAAAGCCAAAACTCACACTTGCTAAACTTAGCATACAACTGGTACTCCTGAAGGGTCCTCAACGCTATCCGTAGATGCTCCTCATGATCTGCTTCCGATCTCGAGTAAATGAGAATATCGTCGATGAAGACGATCATAAACTGA